TGCAGACCGGCCTGACCGTGCTGGCCCTGCCGCCGCTCGGCCTCCTGTACGCGCAGGGCCAGGCCTCGCTGCTGGAGCTGCAGGTGGCGGGGGGCGCGGCCGCCCTGGCCTTCGCCGTGCTCTACGGCCTCAGCTACTACCTGCGGCGCCTCATCGGCCTCATCTACCTCAGCGAGGCGGGCGGCGTGGTGCGGGTGGCGCACCTCACTTTCTGGGGCTGGAGGCACGACATCGACTGCCCCACCACCTCCGTCATAGCACTGGGGGACACGGGGGACAGGCGCGGTGAGCTGCTGCTCCAGTTCAAACGCTATGATAGCCCACAGGTGCTGTACTTCACGCTCAGGTTTGGGCAAGTTGTGGACAAGCAGAAGTTCGAAGAGATATTTGGGCAATTCCAGTGACCGCGAGGGCGCCTGGTTTTCCAGCTGTCCCACCTGCATCATGCTTCTTTTTGGTCTGTCACAGGTGTCCGGTTACATCAACTTGTTGAAATAGTTGCACCTCCTTCTTGTATTAAATACCCCCCCCTGCCAAACGTGCTTCAATCTGTGTTTGTGTAGAGGGGGAGGCAGAAATTCAACAGCCCTGTGGAGGGAAGTAAAATCTTTCCCCTTCTCACCTGAAGCCTTTAGGTAACACAAAAAAAGGAGTTTGGCAGTAAAGAGATCTCAGCTGGAGGCTCACGCAGGCTGCCGTTTTACTTCAGTGCTCAGTTGCAGGGATGCAGCTAGTGGCAGGGTTTCTTTTTTGGTTCTCAAAGCTCAGTGCCAACAGTTGCTGGACCCTTAGAGCCTGGTGCGTAAGCCCTTCCCCTGATTAAATTGCAGCGTGTAGCATAATACAAATTAATATGACTTGTGAGGGGGTGGCAGCTTGTAGTCTCTCTTGTGCTGTTAATTGAGTAATGCAATTTTTGCATTCACGGAAAAACATGATGGCTGGATTTGAGTCCACTCATATAGGACTCCACAAGTGTAAATACAAGCAAACTGTGTGTGAGAAAGTTGCTTTAGGTAATGAAAACGGCAATTTGTTCCAGAGTGTTTTGAAAGATTTTGTGGGGCAAATTGTGACAACATCCAGATATCAGGAAGTAGAAACAGCATATGGGTAAGAGGATTTGGGCAAATTGAGTAGAAATGTATACAATTGGGTTATTCCCTCATACTCCAGTTTTCCCTGCCACTGTGACTAGTGGCTGTATAGCACAGTAGTCATCCTAACTTTCCCCCAAAATATCTGCAGCCCTGAGCTAGAACCAGGCACGTGGTTTGTCATTATGAAACGAGCCTAGCCCTCAATATAAGGCGGACTCTATACGTTACATACCAATCAGGGACCTAGAGGGGAGAACAATATCCAGAAGGCTCAGGGCTCTGCTCTAGAGAGGTGTATATTTGCTAACTCAAAATCAGTTATCTTAAAGCGATAGGGCAGCAGGAAAGCCAAGATAGATTAGTCTATCAAGTGCTTGTACACAGCAAATTAAAATTACAAGAAATAATTATCTTAAATCATAGGTGGAGTTTAATGCACTGTGATTTCTCTGAGGTACCTGAGGTTGGAAATGTGATAATCCATGAGAAACATGTTTGAAAAGTTGACATGTTCAAGTATCTGGAGTCAATTGTTCAGCAAAAGGGGGAGTTAGAGAAAGAGTTCAACCATCGAATAACAGCAGGATGGATGAATTGGAAATGGGTGACAGGAACATTATGTGACAGGAGAATATCCATGAAGCCGAAGGGGAAAGCCTACAAGACGTGTACATCCAGCAGTATTGTAAGGAGCAGAGACATGACTCCCAAAGAAAACTCAAGAAAGGAGACTGAACGTGACAAAGATTAGTGCTCCGATGGATGTGTGGAGTGACAAAGATGGATAAAGTAAGGAATACCTGCACCAGAAGATCAGTGAAGGTAGTGGAGGCATCTAAGAAAGTACAAGAAAGAAGACTGGCATGGTATGGACATTTTCAAAGGGAGTTCGGAAGAATAGGAAGGGGAAAAGAAGTTACCAGAATGGGACTACCAGGGAGAAGAGGAAGACTGAAGATGATATGGAGAGAGATAGTGGAGAGGACATGAGAAAAGAAGTTGGAAGATGATGCATATGACCGAAGCCAGTGGAAAGCCAGGCTCCACAACAGCAACCTTGTTTAGATGGGACAAGTGAGGGGAGAAGAAGAATCATAATAATCCATGAGTGAAGTGGAAGGGGAAAGCCTGTAAGATGTGTACATCCATCAGTATTGTAAGGAGCGGAGACATGACTCCTAAAAAAAACTCAAGAAAGGAGACTGAACATGACAAAGATGAGAATGCTCGGATGAATGCTCCCCTGCTAAACCAGATGGGACAATTGACAACAGACGCCCAGGAAAAAGCAAACTTGCTAAATGGGTGCTTTGCATCAGTTTTTCACCAGTCCCATGGGACGCCCCTGCCCACTGCGGGACAGAGAGGCCCAGGGTGAGGGAGATCCCTTACCCTCCATCAAAGCTGACCTCGCCAAGGAACACCTTGAGAGGCTGGATACCTTCAAGTCAGCCGGCCCTGACAGTTTACACCCCAGGGTACTCCAGGAGCTGGCGAGCATCATAGCTCAGCCCCTGGCACGGATCTTTGAGAACTGGTGCTCTGGTGAAGTGACCGAAGACTGGAAGAAGGCCAATGTGGTGCCTACCTTCAAGAAAGGGAGGAAAGTGAATCCAGCAAACTACAGGCCCATCAGCCTGACCTCTATTCTGGGGAAGGTCTTGGAAAAGATTATCAAAGAGGCCATCCTTAACAGACTAGCTGATGGCAATATCCTGAGGGATA